TATAATCACAGTTTCAATAGCTGTGAACCAGCTTGTACAAAAAAATACAATCATAGCACCATATTTACAAATTTAGTAGCATCTCCGGGTTAACTAGAGAGTCTCAAACGATCTTTTTATGGCTAATTAGGTTATATGGTAGTGCTTTCAAAAAATTGCCTGAAATTCTTTTACAAATATACACTTATAAAAAGAAACATTATCAAAACTGCTGTCATCTAAGGCAGCAACTTGTGTTACAAAAGTTATTAAAACATCATTATAGACTTAAAAAAGCTTCAGATGTACATTTTCCTTTCCATAGGCACTCTATGAGCTAAAACGTGGCCTTGTTTTCACAGCTGTCAGTTTAAGCATTTAAATTAGTTAAATGTTACCAAAGTTGCTCATTTTTTTAGATATAAGCAAAAGGAAAAAAGAATCACCCATTAAACAGAAGCATCATTTACAGTTTTTACTTTTGCCTACTTTATACACGTTTTGCTTAAAAGTGACACTGCTTTGATGTCGAGGTTTAGTGTATGTTATCCCACTGCCTTCTTAGGGCTTAGTTCCTTCTTCCCTAGAATTCGGTGGAGGCTAGCTGACATGAAGTAGGGTTTTGCTGTAGATCCATCATTTCTTTCCAGGTCTTCACCTGAATTTACACAGTAAAAGCAGGCAAAAGAGCAAAGAGCAGTACAAGCACCGGGTGGGGGGGAGAGGGGGAGAGAGAGAGAATTGAAGAAAGGAGAGAGCAAGAGACCCAACATGAAAAAAAGATCTCTATCAAGGCAATTTAGTTGTATTGTTGATGAAACACACTATAAAATTTCTATTTTCTCAAACCAGAAGAGGTCTTACACAAAGCAGACACAAACATCTAGCCATTTTTAAATGACAGCAGTATATCCTTTTATTCTCCAGTTCTTTGGTTTGGCAGTATAGGTGGAAATTTTCAGAAACACTCATGCCTCCACCAAAGCCTGGCATTTTGGCTACTTCTTGCTAGAAAACTTGTCCCCGAGAGAGCTGTGGAATTAAGCACTTTTAAAAACTGGACCCTTTTTCACTGCTTAAGATAAAAGGTCTTTTGAAAACCTGATGCCACAAGCGCACAATATTCTGTATGACCTCCTACTGTCCATTACTGAATAGAGGCATGGGAAACAAAACAGAGTATGAATTTAAAATAATGAGGCAGACGTATTCCTTTTTTTCCTACAGAAGGTCATGACTAAATCACTGGTCTGGGTTCAGCCCAGTGTTTATGCCATGCAGCAGTCACGCTGCAGTGAACAGTTTCACACTGGTGGGCAATCTGGAGGGAGTGGGCAGTGAAGCACACAGCCACTGCCACCGCACCCCTGCAGAGGCAGACAGCTCTATCTGCAAAGCCAAAAGGAGAACACGAGTTGTAGGGAATGGCCGAAGAGGTTAGAGGAAGCAATTCTCTGTATAGCTCCATAGTACTATATACCACATGTCTTTGGAACAATTTAAAAAGAAAACCTGTTAATTTTTTAGTACACCAACAAACTTTCTAAATTTTGTTTGATCAATTTCCACTTAATTCTAAATAATAGTATTTATTTATTTATTTATTGTTTAGCTTATTTCTTGGAGTGTTATTAGTGCTATGTCTGCCTGTGATCATGTTTGTTTAGAACCAAAGTCCATAACTTGAGATAAATAGGATGTAGCTCTCAGCTAAACATTGGTTTTCAGTTTTCTTACTGATTTTGTTCCTGTGATTCTTTGCAACCCAGTATTTCCAGAATCACTTCTAAGTTTGGTTCCCAGAGAAGCAGGATTAAGAAGGTGAGTGTTTAAAGGAAAGGAAGAATTTATGCTATTGGAAGAGGAGAATCAGTATTACCACGTTTATCTTGCCTCAGTGATCCACGGTGCACATGACAGAACAAGCCTATGACAATTTCAGTATTCCCTTAGCATTATCAAATAATTCACCAACTGCAAGAACAATCACTGCCACATAACTTCTACTTGGACCTACCAGAATAACTTTCATTATAGAAAATTTGTATCTTTATTTCTTTAATTCAGTAAATCTAGCAAATGGAATGTACTTTGTAATAAGTACATCCTCTTCTTATAACCATGTCCTAATTTGAGACCAACAGATTTATTTCGTGATTTTAGATTTAGATTTTAGATTCTCTGACTGGACACATTGAACAGCAGTTCCTTTGAGAGTGCCTCTGATTGCTTGCCATTGGGCGTTCCAAGGGACAGATAGTTTTTTAAATGGTATTTCACACAAATTTGAAGGTAATTCAGCATAATACTTTGTTCAGGGCTATTAAGCTGAAAACAAAGGACCACCTATAGACCAAAGAACAACCTTGTTATTAACAAGAGGTTTGAGTGAATCATTTGCTGTACAGGGCTTTTTACAAAGCACCCAAAAACAAACTGTTAATGAAAGTTAAGGAACATCTGAAAAACAAAAGCCAGATAACCCCATGAGCCATACAGCTACCTTCCATTACTTAAACTAATGAAATTTGAATACTAAAACACTCCTGCAATGAAGAATGCATCAAGGAGACAGTCTGAAAAGCAGAAGCAGTTTGTTTGTGTTTCACACAGTCTGCTAGCATGTCGCCAGAATTCTATAAGGAATGGATACTCGTCTTCCCGTGACTTGCAGGTATTAGGTAAAGAAAACGTAGTACTTACAAAAGCAGAGGAAAAGCGTGTCGACACACATTGCATAGACGCTGAAGAACCCATGTGCAACTAGGTAGGAGCCAATAATGACCGTCTACAAAAAAAACCCAACAGTAAAACCCCAAATTTAGTCTGGCACCAAAGTGGCAGTGTTAACACAAGTCAGAAGTCTAGTCTGCTAAGCAGATTTAGAAGGATTTAATGGCAGCTCTGTAATTCTACCAAAGGTTACTACTGCTTGATCACAGGTTCAATACACTGTATACTAACATGCAGTAGCCACTAGTTTTCAAGCTGCCAAACTGGAGCCATTTCACCCCTCAAAGGGAATATATGCCAAGAATATTCTGAACTCCTTCAAGATTATTCTAAAGAACCACTCATCCTGGAGATATTCTGGGGGGTGCTACAAAAGGAGGAAAAGATGCATCATAAGTCCCTTCCACTAGAAGCCACACTGTCATCGGTGCCTCACCACCAGCCTTTGCTGTCTGGGAAGTCTGAGCAAAGCAGATGTGAAACCTAATTCTTCCGAAGGTGCAGAGCCTCTTCTGCCTGAAGGACCCGGAGGACTAGAGTGTAGCAGATCAGTCCTCACTTCAGCGGGTGGTATGCCACTGAGAGGACAACAACAGCAGCTGTTACCAGACCATGCCCTGAGTACTCTGAGCATCTCAGGCTGCCCTCAGTGTTCAGGAGATCAGACGGTTGCCTTACCAGCAGCGGTACCCAGTAGTAATTTAACGTTGGTGCCTCCTGCGCAAAGACTGGTATTCTCTGTGTGAAGAAAAAGAACGCAAGAACACCTGCAAGAAGCACAAAAGATTAGAGATTCCTATGCAAACTCCGATTTCCTAACACCTAAAGAATGGATGAGACAAAACAAATGCATCCAAGGTTGGTTTAAGTAAGAGTTTGTAAACAATAAATTCCTCAATACTAATTAACTGCTGGATCTGTATTCTGACAAAGAGCTATGTAAATTAATCAATTACCATAAAGATACTCATGGGCTCAGAAAGACTTTAATGAATTGTTTTGTTTCATCATTCTACTGGATTTAATAGCAAAATTAATAAATAATGATAAACAAGACAATGAGATGGGATAACAAAGACCATCTGGTGGTTCTTTTCTAAAATAAAATAGAATGAGCAAAATTCTTTCACTTTAAATATTATCGCTTGAAGAAATACTTAACTATTTCAGATTAAAAGGAGAAATGGCAGTGCTAGTGATAAGTACAACAATAAGTTTAGAACAGACCAATGCATCTACAACAGAAACTGCCCAAAGAATTTATTCCTGAAGAGGATGAAGACATGAATTAATTTCAGTATTTCATGGATTACATTTCAGAGAACATGTTTCAAGTCAAATTTGCTACCTCAGTTTGAAAGTCATTCTACAGTAATGACAAAATATTTTAGTTCTGTTCTTGATACTAATTTGCAACTTTTGATTAAAAGGTGATTCTTTAGTAATCTTTTAAAGTGTACAGAATACAAAATACGGTTATTTGTAAAAGAATGTTTTGAAACTGCCACAACCATTTAGAAAAACCGTAAGGGAATACTGACAACTCGAATTTCTGAAAGTGCTTCATTTTTTCAAAAATTCACTATTCTGTCACAGAAGGATATGAATAATATATTTTATTATTTATTGATAACTAAGAAGACCCCAGAAGGATGTTAGAAATATTCTGTTCTTTCTACTATAGCTTATAGCTATAATGGGCTTGAATCAGCAGAGCTTCAGGCCCATCTCCTGCAGACCTGCACCACCTCCCCTTGTATGCATGCTGTCTGCTACCAGGTGAATCTCATCTGTCATTTTGTTCAGTTCTTACGAAAGGAGAACCAATTGTGGCTGACTTAGTGGATGAGAATTTGGTTTGATCCAGCTGTGATGCTTTGGCTGCAGAAGTCCTCGCGCCAGCAACACATGCAAGAGCAGTAAAAGCAATTATGGAAAAGATGCTGTCAACAAATCACTGGGGAGGGAGGAAAGGGGAGAAAAAGAAAAAGTGTATTTTAGTTCAATCTTGCAAATCCTAGAAACATATGAACAGCTTCCCAAATAGTCAGACCAATGAGAACCTCAACTAAGCATATATGAATATGGCAGGCATACTTATAGGAACCCGAAAATAGAACATACTGTTTGGAAAAAAATTGATTGGCTTACCTACACCACCAGCGACGAGAATTTTCCCCAGGAACAGAAGAAAGTCTGTAACTTTGTCCAGAACTGCAACTCTGTTCAGCAAAGGACAAACGATACAGCATCATCAGAAACCAAACACTTGCATTCTTTCTCCTTAAATCTATGGATAATTGGCAAGCCATGACCAGGAAGCTGTCTTCTGCTGGTTTCACGGCTGCCAGCACAATGATGCGGAGACAAGGCACCGAGATGGGTTTTGTTACAGCCTAATCCCGTGCGGCAGCACGGCACGAGCCTCCTGGTGAGTGAGGCCTTGCTGCCACAGCACTTGAAGAACCGTTTATTGCTCTGGCTGGTTAAAAAATCCCAAAACATCAAAATATTTTTATCTCAGCCTTTCTTTGAGGCTTACAGATAAACCAGACCAGAAGAGACCAAGTACACACCAAAACAAAAAGCAGCGCTTGTGCAGATTGCCGGCAGGTCTTCTTTTCACTTGGTCCTATCTGGCCACATTTCATGACCCCATAACATGACAAATCTACTATTTTAAGATATCATGGTACAACACTGAAGGCAGGAGGCCTCAAAGCAGGGAGACAATCACAGATGAATGAATGAAGGTAGACAGAAAAATTCACAGTAAGTCTGCAGCCCTCACTCAAAGCAACAGCAGGGAGTTTCTGCCCGAAATCCTGTCAGCATGTCTTTTCAGAAACTGCAGGTAAATAATGGGATGGAAAATGAGCTTTGTAGCATCAGCCTCTTGACAGTGCTGAAGGCTATGGATATGGTGATATACAGCACCGACTACCATGAAAGATAAATGTTAAGAAATATTAAAGAGAACAAATCATCATTAACCTGTCAGAATTCAGAATTATCAAAATACACAAGATAAAAAAATCTCAGTTCGGAACAATAACATTATATGCCTGGCTAACTATTTGTTACTGATTAGGAGCAAAAGCACAACGGACAGCGAGGCGATGTTCTGACAGGAAAGGAAGGCAGCTTCTCTTTCCTACTGCACAGGCACTACGCGGTGTGGGCACCAGTGCACCGGTATTAACACAGGGAACAGAGTGAATGCACTCCATTCTCCATCTCCAGTCCTTTCCTCTTCTTTCTTAAGCATTGTTTCCACTTTCCTGCCTTTCAGCCTTCCGTTCCATTCCCCTCCTCCTCCCCGTCCTTCACTTAATAATTTAAACCACCTAACCAGTTTTACTGTGTCTCTGGCTCGCTAATTAGGATTGTCTGCTACTGCATCGACATGGCCTGCTCCCAAGTTATTCTCCCATTATTTTTTGATCTCACAGTAGTACAGGAAGAGCCAGGAGCAATGAAGAAAAGCACTGATGAGAACAGGGAGTTTGGCAGGAGTCTTGGGGAAAAGGGCCAGGGGAGTTCCCAGCACCAGGGGAGATCTGGTTTTGTTAAAGATACTGGTTTTGAAAGCAAAGTACTCTGTCGTCTTTACTGCCACTCTCTGACAGCCCATAAGCTTTCTGCATGAATCTGAAGGCTTAGGTCTTTCTGCTTTCCTTTTCACAGACAGTGAGTGACCACAAGTAACACACCTATGACAGATGATGAGCACCCCATTCCTGTATATCTGTTGATCTCTTCTCAGGGGGTTCATTGGTTCCTTGGAGGCTCTATTTACAATCTACTGAGTGCTTATGAATTTAAAAGAGCAATCACAACAAAACTGTTCGATTATATCAATTTTGCATAGGTTACTGTGCTGGACAATCTGCTGTTACACACTGAGAGTCAGAAGCGAGGGCCATGTCTGAGGACAGAAGCAGCTTACAGTAGTATTTGGAGGAGACATGGGAGAGGAAAGAAGTGTGTCTTCAGAGTGTCATAGCAGGAAATCCTGACATTTCCAAGGACTGGGAGATGGCCCCTTACCTCACCACATTCCGCATGAGCAAAAAGAATGCTTCCTTTGCCGAGGTGCAGAAGTTTTTACCATATATGGCAATCTGCAAAATAATAGTAGCTGTTAAGTATTTGAAATAATTAGGATACCTCCTTGTATGCCAGACTCTTCCTGCGTGTAATGCACAGTTCTTGCTAACATTTGGCCTTGAAAGTCAGATGAACATAAAGCACCTCCCCAAGTAACCTGCTGCCTCTCAATGCTTCCCACCAGGTTGGGGCAGAATATTATCTATCCTTCACCTTCAAATCCCCTGGTGATGAGCACGCCACCCCTTGTGATCCTGCAGGCAGTAGACTCAGTACTTAGTTTGCCAAGCAGAGCAAATAAGGTACTTGCTGAGGGATTCCTTGCACTTTGCTGGTTACCTACACTAGATTCATAGTCAGTGGCAAGGAACAGGTACTTGTAGAGCAGAAATTAGTTGACCCCTGTAGGTATCTCCTTGAACCTGACACTGCTCTCAGGAAGAAATCAGCAATACTAGTATCAAAGTCAGTATGATGACTTTACATCAGCATAAAGTAAAGCAGCTAAAGTTATTCAGGAACAAAACCATTTCTTCTTCCTGCAGTAGTGTCCACAAAGAAAAAATATACTAGAACAGCTCTTAGTGCAGTGTTGTTTACCAACTGTAAACAACATAGTCAAAAAGAATACTTCCTCTTCAAGACAGTATTAATTAAAAACATCAATTGCATGAACATGGGTTATAACGGACCCGTTACGGCTACCTCCTTTGAGATAACGAGTCCATGACTGTACCACTCAATCACTGAAATTGCTTCAAGTCAGAACATCCCAGGCTGAAATCTGTGTATGTTTATTTAGGTGGAAATCTGGAATTTCTCTTCTGTAAGCTATGGAGGGTTATTTTAGAGTAATATCACTGCTGCTGCTACTCGTAGAATTTGTGCTTTTAACTCCCAGGAGGAAATACAGATACCACATTCCTTCTGACCTCCTTGTTCAAACACTGCCTCCAAACAGAAGTGTCATCAACATGCAATATGAAAAAGCTAATATTCCTGTTGAAATCAAGATTTCAATTGCTGAATCAGAGGCGGGAGTTAACCAGTTATGCCATCTCTTCCCACTTACTTTGGGGGCTGAGGGGGATGGACAAGGACAGACATGAAAAGAGGCTGAGTTTAGAAAAAGAAAAAAAAAAGATCTTACTTTTCAACGGTAGGACCACATGCATTTCCTGAAAACTCTCATAAATCCCATTATTTATTCAGCAGATTCTATTACTGCTGGCTGTTGACCAACTAGTAGTGGCTAGGGTATTTTAGTGTCCCAGATAAGGGAGACCACATGCAGAGACAACACATACCATGATGTAGGCATTTCTGTTTATAAATTTTAAGAATTTTTCCAAACACCAGAAACAGCATTTGAGGCAGCAGAGTAGAAATCTAGTGAAGGAGTTCTGTGTACCTGAAAAAAAGGAGGGAGTACATCATACATAGAATTCATGAACAGTCTTCAGAACATAGAAAGCTATTCAGAAGAGAATCTTAAATTGTGACAAAAGCAGAAACATTCTTTTCTTCTAGGTATGGACTCTCTTTCGCAACCAAATTTAGCTCACTAGCTTTCAATTAGCTCAGATCCACATCCCGCGTGAACTTTGCATTAAGTTCCCAAGGACATAAACTCAATTTGAGTAAACTGGCACAAATTCACTGGCTTCAAATGGAACTACAATGGTGACAAATAATGTGGAATTAAATGTCTCTTCATTGCTGAAAAAACATCTTGGGAAGGAAAGGAAGTAATTTACCAAAGGAGGTCTTAATAACCTAGAGCAGGTTCGTAAATCTCACCTTTCAGTTTGTGATCCAAGTACTCCAGTATTACTCTAATAAGCTGGACAATTGCAAGAATTAAGGCTCCAAATGCCAGTGAACCTGTATGGTATCTAAAACAAAATAAATTACTGTTATGTTGCACATATGTGTACATGAACAATTACATATGTGTGTGTGTGTATACATAAAATTATAACTGGAGGAAGGTCCATTAGTGGGAATAACATATACTAACGGACCTTCATCCTGATCCGCTAGAGAGAGGAACAGGATGAAGCCACCAGTGCTGTTGGTGTTTGTGTGAGTGCTGCGTCCGTCTGTCTGTCGATCTGCGTGGCCAGCTCTGTATGTATGCGTCGTATACATGTGCGCCCACTGGGAACACCTGCAACTGGTGGGACCTGGGCGCCCAGAGCGGCAGCAGCCTTGCCGCTGTTGGGCTACAGGATTCAGCCTGCCCCGAACAACTACATGTCCCCGATTGTACTGGTTTTGGCTGGAATAGGATTAGTTTTCTTCACAGTAGCTTGCAGGGTGCTGTGTTTTGGATTTGTGATGAAAACAGTGTTGACAACACAGCCACGTTTTAGCTACGGCTGAGCAGCGTCAAGGCCTTTTCTGCTTCTCGCCCTGCCCCGCCAGCGAGCAGGCTGGGGGGCTCCAGGAGCTGGGAGGGGGCACAGCCGGGACAGCTGACCCCGACTGCCCATCGGGATGTCCCACGCCACATGCTGTCATGCTCAGCAATAACAGTGGGGGGGAAGGAGGAGGAAGAGGAGGACATTTGGAGTTACGGAGCGCGTCTTCCCAAGTCACTGCTACGCGTGGTGAAGCTCTGCGGTCCTGGGATGGCGGAACCCCCGCCTGCCGATGGGAAGCGGTGAATGAATTCCTTGTTTCGCTCTGCTTGGGCACCAGGCTTTGCTTTACCTGTTAGACTGTCTTCATCTCAGCCCACGCGTTTTCGCACTTTCACCCTTCCGATTCTCTCCCCCATCCCACTGTGCGGCTGCGTGGGGCTTGGCTGCCTGCCGGGATTAAACCGCTACGCTGACTAATTATTTTCATTTGATAGCCTAAGTCTGGCTTCCCTGGCTGTAAAAAGAGCACTTGTTGGATACATGACAAGACTCGCATCCAGCTCCAGCCTTACCGTATTGCTCGTCCAAATGAAGAAAAGAGTGGCCACAGTGGAATATCGGCTGGTTTTCGAGAGGCCCAGTAATAAGAGGCAAAGGCACCAGCAAGGGTACACTGACCCAGTGCAATTGCAAAGTTGACCAGCCAGAGAAAGACAAAGGCATTGGCTAACTGGAAGATGAAGATGTACTTGTGGTACAGGCTTTCTCCTCCGTAAAAAGCAAAAGTACACTGAGCACCCGGACACAATTTAGTCACATTAGTTGTGTTAAAAGTCTGTATAGAAAGAAAAATAAACATCACAATGATAAGCAATGAATTCTGTGCGCACAGTCTCTGAAGTTTAGCAGCTTAATACAAATAACATTGTTGTTTTATTAGTTCATTTAACACTGCGCTCCAACACTATGTAACCTGTTTACATATTTAAGGATTCATATTAATCTCTTGTGCACGTGCTTAACTTTAAACTATGCAGTTAGCAAACACGGCTGTTCACCACATGCCTGAAACCTACAAAAATGGAATCTGAATTTCAGAAACCTGCTTTTAAGAGACATGAATGCTTCAGTTTCATTAAAGAAAACCTGCTCACATAAAAAAAATAATTATTTCTTGGAAAACCAGAGGCCAAATCTGCAGTTTGGGTAAATCACCACAGTTGAATGGAAATCAACTGAGCTATGCCACTTTATACAAGCTGTGGATGTGGTCACAATTTCCCTTACCTATCTCAGAGTATTAAAAGAGGAGTAGTCTTTACATTGAATTACTTTTCCCTATTTCTGTTGTTCATTTCATGTATTCGCTCAGTTTGGGCATGGCATAAACCCAGTCCGTTTCTAACCCCTTTCTTTTTTAGTGTTCAGACATCAGCAGGGTGGGGAATTGTTTGGGATATACATAACCACAGCAGTACACTGAAATTTAAATACGTGAAAATAACCCTGATATAACATTTGATAAATATTTCTAGTTTGCAAAAAATACTTAAATTCAACCCCACAGTCAAGTCAAAATATTTGACTGAAGACAAAACAAAACAAACCTATTATGAATGACCTTCATAAAGGTCATTGCTGTATCAAAAGAACCCCGATATTTAGCTAAGCCTCTGCTTCAAAAAATGGCCAGTCCTTGGGCAAGTTTGAGGCACAGCTTTCAAGGTCTTCCATTGCCTTTTGAGGACCATGAAATAGAATCCTCACAAATTCAAGAACACCTTTGCAAATAAACCTGTATCTTCCTTTCTCACCCTGTAAATTAGAATGGTTAATATTTACCTGCCTCACAGGACAGTTTAGCAGAAAAATAGTTCATGTCTGTAAATTGCTTTGAACGAAGAAGTGTTATCTGAACACTAAGTACTATTTTTAGATTTAATATGAGGAATCATTACTTAAAATCTGCACATTTTCTACTAGCATTGCATTTAATAGTGATTCAGAAATGCAATTAGTACAGCTCTGACTATAGGTAAATATTTGTCACACTTACCTCCGGGTCACAAGTCAGGTTTGCATACTTGCACAGTGTTTGATTAGCCATTACTTTATACACAGGTTCTCCTGATGTAGCTAGAAAACTGAATGAAATATTTTAAGGAGGAATCACAGAACTGTAGGCTTTGAGCAACTTAGGATTCTGCAGTGGGTAACTAAGCTCTACAGAACTTGTGCAGATAACAGAAAAACTGCTCTTGTTATGCACAGATGTATATGAAGGGTTGATAGACAAGACTGAATACTCTCATCACTTAGAGAACTAAGGCAAACTCCATCCCGGAGCTGTAATAACCCCTGACCAGAATGGGCAAGGGGAATAACCTTGAAAGCTGACTCCGTCTCTCCTGCACACCTACCTTTGACAAGGCAAATTATGCAGTAGTTCTTTGACAGTTCATATTTTGGTGGAAGTAGACACAGAGCATAAGGATATATTAACATTGTCCTGAACAGCTGGGCCTGTTTGTATGTGAAAAAAAACAAACATAAAGCAATTTTCTCCTTTCCGATACCTCGCCAAACCCTTGCTGTTCTGTGAACAGACAGTGGTTGCTGTTATGCAATTTAGAGCGGACTCAGCACACTGTACGTTCTCTCACTCCTTTCCTATACTTTTCTGAACAAAACGCACCTGGAGCCCACCCCAGCTAACTAAGAGATCATTAACATCAGGCCTATGGAGCGTGCAGCACATTAAAGGCCATGTTCATTCTCTGCTGAGAGCCCTTTTTTACCCCTTCAGGTCAACCTTATGTAGTACACAAGGCCTTGTACGATCCCCCCTGCGTTGGCATGAATTTTAGTCCAGTTCTTGTTAATGAAATTAAATTCATTGTCCGATTTGTACATCACATGCAAATGTGCAGTGAGGAAGAGTGCATCAGTGCAGCAAGTGCCAAGTGACGAAATAGCTCTCTCAGCGCTGGTTTGGTTAAGGTGAAATAGCAGAGAATTATCTGGTCTTGCAGACCAGAAGAATGTTCCTCTGGAGAGGTACAGAGACAAAAGGATACACAGCTGTCACAGCCCAGTAGGAAATACAAACTGCAATGAGTATGAAGGTGACGATTGGGTAGAACAATGTAGACATTATATAGCCAATAGCCCTATGAAAGAAACAAAACACATCAGTAAGCTAAAACAATTTAAGAAACAGGCTTTTTGTCAGTCCTCTTCTAGCATCATCCTTTTTACTTTAAGCTACTTGTTGATAGTGATAGCATAATCTTGTGCTGGGATCTCAGAATACTGCAGATGCTTTCTTCAAACGTCTTCACATCTTCATTTCTACCACCCCACTTTCATCGGCAGCACTACAGTCAACTTTATCAATTTGCCATGTTCAAGTCTGTCTTCTACTTTCTCCTTCTCCATTACTGCTTAAAAGATCCAGCTCTTTCCAGGTTACAAACCCATTTTCATCATATCTCTTTGCTGACTGCTGCAGATGTTAGCCTTTATATCCTTGTCCCACTCTACTCAGCTCCTGTGCTCTTCCTTCAGCTCCTACACACTTGAAATTACCTCTTGCTACTTCATATTTCAGGACTCTGTTCCCAGCCCCTTTCCTGCCTTAAGTACTAACTGTTTTGGGGCAGGGACATTCAACTTGTCTTTGTAATGTCAGGACATGCCAACGCTGTCCTGTGACTATGTGACTTTCCTTGCATGTGCCATAAATGAGCAGTGCTCGCCTTTGGCTGTTGGCAGGCAAGAAGAATAATGGCCTTTCACTGCTGACAGCTTACAGAGCTCCTTTCAACATCAAAGCCACTTCTTGTGGCTAGAATGCAACTAGTGAGCAGGAACTTGAGCATGCCAGTTCCTACTCTGCCAAGGACTCCTCCGCTGGAAGAGAGTGAGTTGATACAGCCCCTCTGGGGGAGGCTGCAGCTACCTCAGAGGCGAACACCTCCAGCTGGGTATCTCACTGGATATGAGATTTCAGAGAGCATGTGTTTTGTTCACTGAAGCTTACAGGCTGGTCCTCTTTACACTCCTGTCATCCTCCTCTTCCCACTACTCTACATTTTCTTCCCAGTGACCCTGTAAGCTTATCACAAGCCTTTTTGTCTCTTATTATGTCCTATAGTATTTCTTCTATGACTTGTGGCACTTCTGATGCTATTTGTTTTATAGGAGGCAGTTTCCAGTATGTAAAAGGAGACAAATTTACTCAGTTCCTACTACTAAACTAGTAAATGCTGTGGAGAATCACAGAATAGTTTGGGTTGGAAGGGTCCTTTTAAAGTCATCTAGTCCAACCCCCCTGCCATGAGCAGGGACATCTTCAACTCGATCATGTTGCTCAGAGCCCCATGCAGCCTGACCTGGGATGTTCCCAGGGATGGGGCATCTACCACCTCTCTGGACAACCTGGGCCAGGGGTTCACCACCCTCATTGTCAGAAATTTCCTCCTTATATCTGCTTTAAATCTGCCCTCTTTTAGTTTAAAACCATTACCCCTTGTCCTGTCACTACAGGCCCTGCTAAAAGTCTGTCGCCATCTTTCTTCTAAGCCCCCTTTCAGTCCTGGCAGCTGCAGTAAGGTCTCCCTGGAGCCTTGTCTGCTCCAGGCTGAACAGCCCCAACTCTACAGCCTGCTGATCTTTTTTGTGGCCTCCTCTGGCCCCGCTCCAGCAGGTACCTGTCTGGACGCAGCCCTGCAGGGGGTCTCCCCAGAGCGGAGCAGAGGGGCAGAATCCCCTCCCTCGCCCTGCTGGCCACGCGGCTTTGGGGGCAGCCCAGGATATGGGTGGCCTTCTGGGCTGTGAGCACACGTTGCTGGCTCATGTCCGGCTTTTCACCCACCAGGACCCCCAAGTCCTTCTCAGCAGGGCTGCTCTCCATCCCTTCATCCCCCAGCCTGTGCTGGTACTGGGGGTTGCCCTGACCCAGAGGCAGGACCCTGCACTTGGCCTTGTTGAACCTCATGAGGTTCACAGGGGCCCATTCCTCAAGCTTGTCCAGGTCCCTCTGGATGGCATCCTGTCCCTCAGGCGTGTCAACCACAGCACTCAGCTTGGTGTCACCTGCAAAACTTGCTGAGGGTGCTCTCGATCTCACTGTCCATGTCATTGATGAAGACATTGAAGAGCACTTTAATATTTATTTAATAGAAAAGAATTGTCAGCACTGTGTAAAACAGGAACCACTGTGAACAAAGTCTATGCGGATTTCAGGAAACACAAAATGAAGAGCTCTCCTAGGCCTTCAACTCTCATATCCTGCTCTGCTTTCTTCTTTACTCAGAGCTGAAAAGAAGTATCTTGGACTGCACCATAGTACAATGTCTGGCCATGGTGCACATCCACACAAAAGTTTGACTGGAGCCAGAAGAATCCAGTCTTTCCTAAATAAAAGCCACAGCCAAAACACCACCAATCCTCTACCACTAGTATGTCACTCACACAGACCAAACTTGGCAGCTGTAGGTCCCAGGCTCCTATTAACAGTGTACCACACTTAGCATTTCTGCCAATATACCTTTTTGCACTGAGGATAGGTGGTACTACTAACAGTATATGTATTCTTAAGGCTGAGAGATGGGAGATAAGAAACGTCTTATTGCAAAAGAGAAAGATCTTATAAGCACAACCTCATTAACAGAGAACTGGCATTACTTATACTACTTGTTCAGCTCAACAAATCCAGTGTTGTACATTAACAACTTTCTGCCCTTGGTAGTGCAAGATGAAGCTCAAGAAGAGTGTAGCCTAGAGATCATTTAATACAATTCAAAATATATTAAAATCAGACAAACATACCTACTACCTTCCTTCAACAGTGCAATAGCAATCCGGATCCGATTCCTCAGGAAGATCAGCATCAGTATGATTATGACTTCAACACCACAAAGTATTATCACTGTAAACAAACAAACAAAGTTAGATTTATCAAGAATCGAACCAATATCCTGCCTTCTGTACACTGTTTTCTTTCCCTTGTATTTTACACTATTGTTCATGAACTCCATAAAATTCTCTGCTAGAGCAGTTCTCTCTTTCCCTCACTGCACCTCCAATCTTCAATCCCATTTCAAAGTTTTGTAAGTTCCAGCATCGGGAAATTCTACACGCAGAGAGTTAGTCAGAATGTGTAGGACCATGACATTAGCATTTATAATTTTAGAAGAAAAATGAAACATATCAGTCTCAGACAAAGATAATAATTTACTTAAATGTGACTGTAGTATTTGGCCTTAGATACAGATCACCCTTAACAAATTCTACTTTTCATAAACAAGCATTTTGCGTATTTATACTCTAATGCTGTAGTATTTAGATACAATAAAATAAAAAGGAGATGAAGAGTCAACTTTTTAATGAAGAGTGCATTTTTCTGATATATATTATCCTAACATTTAGATGCACTTAAATCAATAGGTTTCGTTGAGTATTAACCTGGCGTGAGCTCCTTTCACCTCATTTAAGTGAAAAAAAAGAAGAGGCTAAGATAGGACAGTTTTGGACAAATTATTTTCACCTTCCAGTTGTGCTGCTGGAATCATACAAACTTCCTCTGAGGTCAGAGAGCTGAGAGCACCATGTCCCAGAACACTTCTTCTCTTCATTATGAGCAGTGTTTGAATCACAACCCAGATCTGGTTTAAAGAGTCTGCTTCAGTCTGATTTCTATTTGTGTCAGTTCAAAACCCACTTCTGCAGTAGAAAGTAAAAAAGTTCTCTGGACTTCACGTAGAGAAGAGAGAGTCTTCAACGACTGAAGCACATCTCATTTGGGTCTGAGGTGTATCCATTAATTCTGGGTGGTTCAGACAGTTGGACAATGTTTAAACCAGCCCAGCAGTTGTGGATAGTTGCACACAGAATCACAGAATCACTAGG